AAAAAAAAAGTAGGGTAGAGTAAAAGCGTTAAAAGTCTGTAAAAGTTATATGGTGTCCATGTTTTAAGATTCAGAAAAAATATAAAGAAATATAAAGAAAAAAATCCATCAAAGCCATATGATGCCCTAAGACATAAATTAAAACAGATTCTAAAATGATGTTAATGCTGTATGTAACTTAATGAACATGTGTTTAGAGTAAAGGTCAACAATTTATAACCCATAGGGAAAATCCAGTACACTGCCAGTTCTGTGAGTAAAACTTTATTTGAATCCCATCACATTTACTAGTTTACTAGTATCCATGATTAACCAAGCTTAGAGGCCTGCAAAACTTGAAATATTTACCATCCTGCCCACTTCTTGTGAGGAAAAAGTACTGCCCACTGATCTGGAGAACAGTGGATAGTATAATAAACAAGTTGAAGACAACCAAACAAAGCACACAGGGTAAACAGCCACACACTCAGTTCTTTTAGAAATGCTTGTCTATTGCGTAGCTGCTACTAAAAGCAAATGTCACAAGTAAGCATCTGGCAAAGCACTGTGATCATAATTACCTTACTCAGAAAAGTCTATGCTAACCAAGCAATTTTTATGCCACTAGAATAAGCTCCATCTAGCACTCTGTACTGAGCCATGAATACCAGTAGGAGCTGATGGCGACTGAGTCCTAAATCGAGTCTGCTCTCAAGACATCTTTAACAAAACATCAAGAATGACTGTAAGTCTCTGGACCTACTCTCTAAGCAAAACTACAAGGCAGAGAAAAGTGGTATACAAGACATCATGGGTCAGGCTGAAAAAGCACAGAGCAGGATATAAGCACTGTGGGAAGATGATAACATACCCTCAGATAGCAAAGTACAAAATTATCAGAGCATGATCAGTTGCAAGCTATGGTGGAAGAGAAGCCTCTATTTATAATAGGAGTACAAGAAAAGATACTTAAGATTGACTTAATAAGAAACACGGATAGAAAGAAAATGTTAAAATAACCCTGAATATCTACAAAGTGATTTCCATATAAAAAGATTCACCATGTTCCTGAACAAGACTAACCAATATCACAAAAACAGCACTTCTCCGTGAATTTTTAATGGTAATCTTTTTAAAAAAATCTAATGTGTTTTTTTTTTCTCAGAGACCCAAACAATTTGCTTTTAAAATTCACATAGAAGCTGGGCGTCGGGGCTCGTGTCTATAACCCTAGCTATTCAGGAAGCTGAGATCTGAGGATCGCAGTTCAAAGCCAGCCGGGGCAGGAAACTTTGTGAGACTCTTCTCTCTAATAAACCACTCAGGAAAGGAGTTGTGGTGCTATGGCTCAAGTGGTAGAGCGCTTGCCTTGAGCTGAAGAGCTGAGGGACAGAGCCTAGTTCCAGAGTTCAAGCCCCACAACTGACAAAATAATAATTAAAATAAAATAAAATTCACAAAGAAAAACAACCAGCAGAAGAACCTTCCACAAAGCTCTGAATATAAGCAATGAAAGACAAGGGTCAAAGTAAGGACCAGCCTTACCAGAGAGCAAAACATACTGTAAAACCATGGCAAGATAAAACAGCATGATACTGGCACATGATTCAGCAAACCAAACAGAACAGAAAGAGTGATGTAAACATATACAATAAAGGACAAGCATAGACTTTTACTATATAATTTGAAAAAACTAAGTGGCTACTTATTTCACATCAGACTCCAAGAAAAATTCTCCATGTAAAAACTAAAACCACACAAGTTCTAAAAGAAAAAAGGCAGTGAATTTCTTTGTCCTTTCCCCTTCCTCCCACCCCACCCCTCTTCCTTTTTTTAGTATTCTTCCAGTTGAGCCACAACTCCATCTCTGGCTTTTTAGTGGGTAACTGGATATAAGACTCTCACAGACTTTCCTGGCTTAAGTGGGCTTCAAATTGTAATCCTTAGCCTCCTGAGTAGATAGGATTACAGGCATGAGCCAAGGATACCAGTTGGATTCCTTTTGAGAGTAATGAAGGTCTTAAGAGTAAGAGAAGAGAAGGTCATCTTAAGAGTAGAAAAGGTCTTTCAAGGGCTGGGAAGGTGGCTCAGTGGTAGAGTGCTTGCCTTGCATGCATGAGGCCCTGGGTTTGATTCCTCAGCACCACATAAGCAAAAGGAAAAAAGCCGAAGTGGCGCTGTGGCTCAAGTGGTAGAGTGCTAGCCTTGAGCTGAAGAGCTGAGGGACAGCGCCCAGACCCAGAGTTCAGGCCCCACAACTGGACCCCCCCCCAAAAAAGAAAAAGTCTTTCATCTATGATGCAAATCCATAAGCCATAAGAATAATTTTAAATGTACAAATGGCTCCTTCAGGATATAAAGAGAGACAGATGGATTACACCCCTGTAATCCCAGCAGTTAGGAAGCTGAGGCTCAAGGATCACAAGTTCAAGGCCAGCCAGGACCAAACAAAAAACTGAAAGGGAGAACAAAGATGTAAAAAGATGTTCAGACTCCTTTAGCAGAAGAAAATAAAAATAAACTTAATTCTATAATGTGGCATTACTCCTCATCTGATAAGGACAAACATCTAGAAGTTTGGAAGTATGCTCTAGAAGAGCAGACACTCTTATCCAATATAGATAAACATTTAAGTAAAATGTTCAAACATCTATGGGAGGGTATTTGGAAATCAAGCTTGTTGTTTGTTTTTTCACACACAAGTAGAAAGTACACACAAGCTGAGAATGGGAAGGTTGTGGTTCATGGCCAGCCCAGGCAGAAGAGTTCTCAATACCTTTTCTTAACGCATTACTGGGCACAGTTGTGCATGCCTGTTTTTCCAATATATGTGGGAGGCTGAGATTGGAAGGACTGGGGTACCAGTCCAGCCCAAGCTGGTTTGTAAAACTACATCTCCACGGAAGGAAGCTGGATGCAGTGGCATACATCACAGCAATACAGGAAGCCTGAAAACAGGCAGATCTTACCTAAACTTGCCATATCCTAAAAGTGATCAGTAGAAGTGTGGCTCAGTGGTAGAATACCAGACTCACAAGCACAAGGCCTGCATTTTGAACCCCAAAACTGCAAAAGAAAAGAGAACGGAAAGAAAAGAAAAGAAAAGAGGAAAGGAAAGGAAAGGAAAAGAAGGGAAGGGAAGGGAAGGGAAGGGAAGGGAAGGGAAGGGAAGGGAAAGGAAAGGAAAGGAAAGGAAAGGAAAGGAAAGAGGAAAGGAAAGGAAAGGAAAAAGGAAAGGGAAGGAAAAAGGAAAGCGAAGGAAAAAGGGAAGCGAAGGAAAAAGGGAAGGGGAAGGGGAAGGGGAAGGGGAAGGGAAGGCAAAGCAAAAAACGATGTGTATCTAGGCTGGCCATATACTGATTGATAGGGAAGCTGTATGAGCCCAGGGATGAGACTCAGGTCTTTTGAACCTGAGTATGCCTTTTGGTGATTCTCGTGAAATACCCTCAGACTGCCAAGAAATGGGGAATGAGAGGCCATATGGACAAGCACAATGGCCTAGCAAACAATCACTAGGCATGCCCTGGTTCTTCCAGTCCAGCTAACTCTCCAAGTACAGTACATGAGTGAACTGAGGCTACACCAGCAGAGAACTGCCCAGCCACCTCAGAATGAGAAAACAAATCAATACATTTTAGGTGGGCTGTTTTACCCCCCTAAGGAACTTCTGCAACCAAATATTAAATAAAATAAAAAATTTTTAGCTGGGAAAGGTAGTCATCAACTGAAAAAAAAACCCTAGTAAAAACATATGCAGGACACTCACTTTGTAGGATGTATAGCATTAACAGAGACATGCAGATGCTTGACTTTTGCAAGGGTAAGTCGAAAAACTCCTGAGTTGCCAGTACAATTAATACAGCTAATGTACTGAACATCACAGCTTAGTGGCTTAGTGTTCTTATAACTGTCTTGGCTGTTGGTGCTGTGGTCTTGTGGCTGTCTAAGAGCTGTGGTTAATGGATCAGGCCAGTGCAGCTAGGCCAGGGAAAGACCAAAATTCAAATATTGAAGTACAATTTCTATTGAACATATATTGTCCTCACACTATCCTAAAGATGAAAAACATAAGTCAAATCATTTTAAGTCAGAGACTACCTGTAGTAACATAGTAAGATTTTGTGTTAGTTTTGCTTTCTGTAGCTTCAGCATTCATATACATAGACTTCGCAATAATGGAGCAACCTGTTTTTTAAATATCTACAGTGCTTAGTCATTAAGACAAAATGTCCTCGGGCACTGCAGTCAGGACCTGTAAATCCATGCTATCACCTCACAGAAACACTGAAAAAAGTCAATCAATACACCTTTAGGAATTGTTATGGGCAAGACTGTATCACCCCCAGATTCATACGTCGAAGTCTTAACTTCCAATGCCTCAGCACTGGAGTATATCTGGAGTTAAAATAAGCCATTAGGGTCATGTCTATAAAAAGAGAGCTAGGGCACAAAAGGAGATACCCGGAACACACACCTACTGAGGAGTGACCAGGTGACAAGGCAGCACCCACCGCAGTTCTAGAGGGCACTGTAATACATATATGCATAACAAAAGAGCACAGACCAAATGGTTAACATGAAATCGTCAATGGTAGTTTGCGACTATTCAATACTATAGGCACTTCCATTTACTTCTAGAAGGACCAGAAAATGATCTTACTTGACTGTTTCCTTCAGCCCAAACCTGTACATCCCGGAAAACATTTAAAGTATAGTCATGGCCCACTGCACCATGTAGTTCTTCTCATGTGGATGAACACTGCTCTGAGAAGACAGACCTAATAAAACAACTATTTGTTATGATTCATAATGATGTGCAAAGATAAGCACACACATTTCATGTTGAAAAGTTTTTGATCCAGAGCAGTACATAATGTTCAAGGAAACGTCACTGTAAAGAGGAAAATCAGCACCCAAACATTTCATTTAAGAGTGAAGTACGTTGTCTATTGAGTGAGCTACAACTCAAAAGACGCAAGGAAAAATGTTCTTATGTAAAATGTCCAAGAACTGGCACTTACCTAAAATGAGATGAAGCTTGGTTTCTGTCTGGAAAGCATAGTGCAATGTCACCAAAAATGGTGACTGCCTAATGTGCTCCAGAACCTGCCGTTCTGTCCTTGTATGCTCTGTAGTTTTGGCCTTTTGAACTATTGTTGCCTTTTTCAAAACTTTCATGGCATACAGCTTTCCAGCATCATGACCACTTATTTTACGAACTAGGAATACTTTTCCATACGCTGAAAAGAAAAAGAAAAAGAAGAATTAAATGCTACATAGCAGAATGTAATTTGTGGAAATATATTTATTTAATGCTCATGCACACAAAAATGTTCTTTAAAAGCACCATTGATTCTGTTTCAAATAGCTCTTTGATAATTTTTTTTCGGTTTTATAAATAGTAGATTTCTTAGCCTTGTATATTTCTTAGTCTAGCGCTCAGTATTTACAGGTCTGGCTACTGCTGATAGTTACGTTTTCTCTCTTTAAATGTGATTTTCTCTTCAAGATTTTCAGCTAGAAGAAGTTGTTACTATAGTCAGATAATCACAGTCCAATTGTGGAAAAGCTAGGACATTTTAGACATCACATAAAGTTGCTAGGTTTCTAGCAAATATATAAACATTAGTATGTGTATATACATATTTGTGTATGTATATTGATGTAAAAAAATGAAGACAGTGCTCAGTTCTTTTTCTTTTCTTTGGCAGTACTGGAGTTTGAACTCAGCACTCTGCCACTTGAACCACATCTCCAGGCCTCTTTCCTTTAGTAACTTTTCAGATAGGGTCCTGCACTTTGTCCAGGACCGGCCCCAGACCTGAATCCTCCCATCTATGCTGAGACACAGGTCTTGTTAACTTCCCTGCCCAAGCTGGCTAGGCAATAACCATAATCCTCCCCATTTCCATCTCCTGAAAACCTGGGATGAAAGGTATGCACACACCCCCACACCCAGCTCAAGATGATGTTTTGTAAAAATCTCATCCTCTCATATAAATCAAGTACCTGAAGTATTCCTCAAGATTTATCTTTAAAAATCTAAAGCAATATAAATTGACCTTATGTAAATAGATCCTTAGCTGGGTGCAGGTGGCTCATGCCTATAATCATAGCTACTCAGGAGGCTGAGATCTGAGGATCATTGGTTCAAAGTTAGCCTGGGCAGAAAAGTCTGACTCTATCATCAATAACCACCAAAATGCCAGGCTGGCGATGTGGCCCAAGTGGGAAAGTGTCACCAAGAGAGAGGAAAAAAAAAGCGCCAAATGAGAGTATGAGGCCAAACTCAAGTCCCAGTGCATACTAAATAGTCTTTAGATTTAATAAACATTAAAAGACGAAACTGTGAATGGTATAGACAGATACTTCTTAATATCTCTGAGCAATAGTTCATGTCTCAACAGGCCAACTTCACAACTCTTTTCATAAGAACCCTGCTGGACAGAATCCTGTCTGTGGTTCCCCCTTCCAGGTACAGGAATGGACCCATGCAGGCAGGATCTGTGCTTCACTGGGCAAAGCAGTGTCTCTGCATTTATTTCTAGGCAGAAAGAAAGGTGAAGAAATGGGAGGAGTCGGAGTAGGCAAAAAAAAAAAAATCAAGAAGGAAGGAAGGAAGAAGGAAGAAGTAGTTCCCTTGAAAAATGCTTCTTGGAATAGTTAAGCCATGCTCTGTAGAAGCGAAGATCTCTTGTACTATATGTGATGCAGTTCAAATACTTTAGACCTAGTCTAGGACCATGCTATGCCATGTCACAGATCAGTGCTAGACTGTACTGGGGAGAGGAGACCAATGCTTGATAAGGAATTGTCAACACCAGGCCCTGTGCCAATCCCCTTCTCCTTACTGACTCATTTAATCTCTATCACAGACAATGACATTGGTACTTTTAGTAATTCAGCTTCATAAAGAAGCACAGAATAAAGGTTCACAAAGGTTTGCATCTGATAAATATTTATAATAAATACAGATTGAGACCTTAGAAAGGTAGAGGTAAATCAAAACAAAAGAATGGCAACTTTCAGATCCTAACAAAGCAACTTAAAATAAAAATGCAAAGGGGCATATCTGTTCAGAAGCCATGTAAAGCTAGGAAACATTCTAATAAGTTTATCATCTAACTATGTACACTGGCAGACAGTGAAATTGTTAGGCAGCTGTGTAGCTTTTATGTTCCTTACATACACACGGCACTTACCCTAACCTCTGCTCTCCCTGCAAGAATACTATGGGCCTAGAAATACCAGAATCCATTTATTTTCTCAAGATGGAAAATACTTTCCCTGTCACCACTGAAATATGGCATTCAGCTCTTTCCTAGCACTCCATGTATATCTTTCAACACAGGTGATTATATGACAAATGGCTGGGTGTTACTGTGTAACATCTAAGCACTTTAGATATGTATTGTGAGGCACTTTATTTATTTATTTATATTTTTTGCAGTCAATATCCTGTTTCCAGGAACACATTTATTAAGCAAACAGACAAACAAAAAATAAGGTTTGGCACATAGAATGAAAGATGTAAAACCAGACTGTCTTTCCTACATGCAAATAGTGTGATTTTCCAAAGATACTATAAAAATTCATAAGAGGATTTGTGATCAGAAGTGACAGGTAAGCAAAGTAACTGGAAAACTGTATATGTAAATTGAGCTTTCAATATAGGATTACAAGTTTTCAATAAATGAGCCTATACAAGATGATTTTGTATCTCTAACACACATCCAGTATTCTACATTTTTTCACATACTCCCGTTCTGTGAGGCACTTTAGATACGTAAGAATCTATTTTATTTTACTGTTGGGTTGTGGGGCTTGAACTCAGGGTCTAGATGCTGTCCCTGAGCTTTTTTTTTCCCACGGAAGGCTAGTGCTCTACTACTTTGAGCCACAGCTCCACTTCTGGTTTTTGAGTGATTAATGAAGATAAGAGTCTCACCAACTTTCCTGCCTGGGCTTGCTTCAAACTGGGATCCTCAGATCTCAGCCTCCTAAATAGCTAGGATTACAGGTGTAAGCCACCAGCTCCCAGCAAGAATCTATTTTATTCTTAGAACATTCCAATAAAGGGAGGGAAATAATAATCCTCTATAGATGAAGAACTGAAAATATAGAAGAATTGGTCACTTGTTCAAGATCTTGATCTTACCTGTGCCCCTGTTGCTTCCATACATGACCTCAGCAACAAATGAAGGTAGATCTGAACATCAAACAAGTAAGAATGCAGGAGAGGTATTTTAACAATGGAATGGACTCAGTGCTACTTCTTCTAAGACAAGGAAGTTTTACAAAATAGCCATGACTGATGGGGATTCTAAGTGGCAAAAAAAACAGTCTTTAGACTAACTGCAAACAGGCTGATTTTTAATTTTCATTTGCTGGTCCTTCTACAGTCTCTGTACTTAGAGAAAAATATATTTACACTTCTCTAAGATAATTTTTAAAAATACTTAAAAACATTATCATGCCTCTCCTATTCCTGAAGCCAATCTTACAGCAATTTGATTTTGAGAGATCTCACCACTAGGTGGGGTTCACAGATAAATGCTATGGGTTTGTACTTTTTTTTTTCTTTCATAACTTTCCTGTTTCTTTTTTAAAGGTTGTATTTTACTCCAAATAACCCTTAAGTAGCACAAGGTGTTAATGTACATTGATTGCTTAACTAATTAAAAATCATCCTACTGTCACATTACTATAAGGTCAAGTAATAGTTAATGTCCTTGTCTGATGACAAAGTCCAAACATTTCCCAGTATTTCAAATTAAAGACCATATATCCTGCCAATATAATTATATTCACCTATCAGAAGATGTCAGGAAAAACTGTATGAAACTCACTAATCTCTTGCTTTTACTTCTAAGGTTGCCATAGTTGACATTAAAGCTAAGGTATTCTAACCACATGGTAAGTCAATATTCAAGGAGTGTCTCACAATGGTCCAAACATGTATTTCAAACAAAGTTCTTGCTTAGTAGTAGGCTACATGACTAAAGCATGGCTGCCTCCAATACCCTTGGTTTTGAAGCACCCAAAGGCACTCATATTGCCAGGGGGAAGAAGATACATTTATTATTGGAGAAACCAGGAAAAAGATACCTCACTAGGTAACTGGTTTGTAGTTTAGGGCAGAGGGAGAAAGTGAAATGGTCTTATTGAAGAGTGCCATCCACTCCAGAATGGCTTAGGTGTTTCTTAGTATTTTCAAAAAGGCCACCAACAGTAGAACTGGCCGCTATTTCTTTTCAGTTTGCACCTGGGTGACTAAGAGCTTGCCAGTATAGCCAAGCTCCTGGCTTCCATTCATGTGTGTGTGTATATTACTGAAGGGATCCTATTTTACAAACATTTTGGGGGAATTACAAAGGCTACTGAAGTGAAAAAAGGCAACAGTTTTAATGGAGGTCCTGAGATAGATATTTGGCAGCACTACGGTATTTTGTACTTAGGTGCCAAGACTGGCTTCGCGCTTATCTGCATGGCACTATAATTTTTACATCAGCATGCCATGACATCAACTGCTTTACTACCAATCTTTACAAAAGTATTTCTATGAATCTTATTATATTAATAAGAGCAGGGAGGACTACTTTTTGTGTTCGCAGACATCTATGACCAAGTGAATAAGGCCAATTTTCCCGTTCATGGCACTATAGACATCGTTTTGGATGTTGCTAAAAATCCGTGTGATTTTAGAGCTAGCAGCCTTTCCATAGCAGAGAACTACATCAAGAAAACTATGTAAAAATTTCAAAACAGTGAAGGTCTCTTTTGTTCAAACTGAAATGTAGATTTATGGCACAGTGTTGACAAACGCTGATAATGGCCTCAGTAGCTTGAGGCACAGGAAATAATGAAAGGACCCACATGGAGAAATTTCTGGTTCCTGGGAGTAGATCTCGTCCCAGCTTGCTTTTCTCAATGTAGGGCTCTTAATCCATTTACTATGATTCCCATTTATGAATCAAGATTTTAGAACTTGATGCCAAAATAAAAAATTAAAACTTACAGCTTAGAAACCAACTATTCATGCTTCCATGTCAAAAAATATACAATTTCAAGTTCTTTTTTAAGCTAAGAGCAGCTTCTTGATGAAATTTACTTTGAACATAATTATACTTTTTGTGTAAAATTTGAATTTATTAAAACTTCAAGACATAATCTTTAATCTTTAAAATAATGATGTTAATTTGTTAAAGTATTTTGAGAGTCTAGCTGTAAAAGCATCAGT